ATAGAAAAGACATTAAGAAATGTAATCATCAGTTTCATTAGATCCTATTTCAAAGTAAAATGTTCCCATTCTGCAAAAGATACATTAAAAAAATTATATACTTTATAAATAATAATATAAATTATAAAGAATTCATAATTTTATATTACGATATTTACTTGATATTCCAGACAATATAAATACAAAAAACATATCATTTAAGAAAAATAAGATAACTTTTTGCTACTATTATATAGCTAATATATTCTGAATTATTTTACGCTAAATAATTAAATATAATGTTAAATTATTAAATATAATATTAATTATTAGTTTACCTATTTGATGATCTGTATCCAACAGCCAACTGATCATTCTCATCGCATGTATGAAGCGAACAGGAATAATAACAAGAACATTTGACCGCCATAAATAAAGTATCAGAAACCTTCGACTCTGCATATATTTCGACTGATCTTTGATGACTGCAGAGATCTTATATGAAAAATTCAATTAAATCAAAGTAGTAAAAAACACATTTTTTTAAATATTATGTTGAATAGTAATTTTTTTAAAAGAAATCTACGAAATTTGTTTAAATACATGAAATAATAAATCATTGTACAATTGATAGCTATACATTTAGAATTTCCAAAACATTTTTTTAATAATTGTTAAATTGTGCGTATAATGAAAATTACTAAAAAATAAATATTCAATAAAGGCTTTTATTTATGCAATTAATTTGTCAAAATAAAGTGATACTGTAATGATTTTAATGAAACAATGTTAATTATTAATTATTACCAGTGTCCAAGGGAATACCAATTAAGGGGCAACCAGGTTGAGGACGGTGACCACTATTTGCATAGAAATCTGCTGTTCCCATAGGATAATAGGTACCATATCCACCCATGTCTGTATGGATAACATCAACCCATGACGCATCATCTTTCGTTAGATAACAACTCTCCAAAGGATTAAATATAGGATTAGCAGGATCTAGTGCTACAAATGATAATTTTATACTAAAAAACATTTTAGAAAAATACAAAAATTATATATAATATAATTAAATTAATAATTAAATTAGAGATTTTTAAGCAATTTTACTATGAAGTTCTTATTAACAAAGATGGGGTACAAAATATAAGTTGTGGTGTTTGCTTTAAAATTAATTACTTAAACTAATAAAAAGTAATATCATAATATTTAACAATAGAAAGTTATAAGAGAAATAATATATTATTAAAAATAATTGGTAATTATAGAATATAAATTGAAGTATTTATAGTTTTATATTTTTTTTGTTTTAGTTTTGTTATAATTTATTATTACTATTTTTGCAAATATTCTAAAAACAACTATTTGTTCTAAAATTTAATTACATACCTGTGATACGAGGTATCATAAAGTCATTACATTTACCAGCAAAACCAGCTATAGCCGTGCCTAATGAATGCGCGACGATATAAATGTTAGATACGTTGAAACCGCTATTTACGAGTTTCTGTATACTTTCGGCGAATGAACTTCCTACTTTCTTGGCATCTTCAAAAACACTTAAGTAATTGCCAGTAGAATACTTGCTCCAATCCAGTAATACAACGTTATCCATTCTTTCGTGACATAATGCTAATAATGCAAACAATATTCAATATGAATGTAATTTCATCGTAGTTGTAGTATTTGATTCGATAATAAGTATTTTTAATTTTTATTTAAGACTCTTGTTGATTGACTGTAATTATCTTGAATTATAATGTCAGAAGTCAAAAACACATGATAAAAATTCTTGCAAAATACATTAAAATAGATATGTTTTTCGATAAAATAATGTTTGTACTCGAATAAATTCGTAAAATATACTGAAAGTTTAATCTCCTTTCGCTTCATTAATCAACAAGTAATCATGAATTATGCCTAATCAAGAGTCACAATTGAATTCTAGATATATTTATTAATTAATGAAACGAAAGAAGAGTTTTCCATAAAATGTCTAAAAATTATCTCAAAAGATAAATGTCTAAAAAAACATTATAAATTATAAAAGATCTTTAAGGTATCATAATGTTCTCTGGATTAATGCATGTAAATAAAAAAAATACCTTTCATCATTATTTGAACATTAGATTTCTCTGGGGATTCTAAATATCCAAAGATATAAAAGATTGTTCGTTTATTTTCCAATACGTTTAGCATGTCTTCTGGCGTTGCGATGGGATAAGCGATCGTTTCATTTTCATCATTACTGAAAATTTTATTTAAATAATTATTACTGTTTAGAAAAATTTTTATTAATACAAACCATTTATAATAGAGTAGATTAACACCAATCATGAAGTCTGAATCCGCTTCGTCACCTATATGATAGAATGCGTACAATGTAGTACATAATGTTTATTGTTTAAAAATGTTTTTTAATGTTTATTGTTTAAAAATGTATAGAAAATAAATTGTAAATACAGGAACATGAGCAATCCACTGTCTTGATCACAATAAACAGTAAAACGTAAGAATATATAATTGTTTTTAACATTTTAAACGAATAAAGAATCCCCAAATTGAGAATACGTTTTTTACAGATATTCATATTACTTTCTGATAATGAACTACTGCATTAGAATTCAATGTCAGTGTAATATATACCATCATATATATCACCTGTATACATTGTACCATCTGCACATAAGTCAAGCACATGATAACTGCATGAGTAATTTGAAATGTTCGAATGTACATCAAGTGTCATAATTAAAAAAATAAAATTATTTGATTAATATATTTGCGAAATTTAAAAAAATATATTTAAGAATACAATATTATACTTTATAGTCTTTTCACGTGTAACGTTTAACTTCAGAAATATTTTATTACATTACAATTTTAAAATACTTGTAAATAAAATAATATATAACATTATATATCATAGTGACGTTACACATATAAAACTTTAGCAATATGATATATAATGCAACTAAAATAATTGAAAAATATTATCTATTTTATTTAAAATTAATCCATTTAGTTGTTAAGAATTATGCATAATTTATCAAATATTCTGTTATAAATCTGTCATATTATGTTTGCCATTTTTTATTTGTTAAGTTTTATATTAAATTTGTATTTAGTAACCTGAAAAATTTTCCATGACTTAATAATCTATTATTAGCTAATTGTACAGATGTGCAACAGTATGTTTTAACAATAAAAAATAAATTATAATATTTACAGTTGTGTAATGTTTGCAATTGTCGGACTCAGATTGTTTCCTTAGATATAAATTAAATTTTTTAATTTATATGAATTCCAAAATTATTGTCTTTTATTATTGTTACAATTTTGATGTAAATAATTTGTAAAAACAAAACGATCAATTATTTACAAATACATTTATTAGATATTATAGTTGAACAAATCTTTAAAAATATAATTTTTATAAATGTTTATTTGAATATTCTCTTGAGATTATAACTTTTTTCTCAATTTACTTTAAATATGTAATTATTTTTTTTTATTAATTATATAAAAACATGTATTTTTTGAAAAGTGAAACTATGTACATTTTCTTAATTTTTTATTTATTACTAAACATCACAGATGCGTGCATGTTATTTATTTCTTTTTAATAAAAGAACAAATATTATTATACTATTAAACACATGCAAAATACAACTGTTAAAATAAAAGCTGATTTAATGATAGCCGCTTAGAAAGTAAGCGTAATGAAAGAATTAATTGATATCGCGATAAAGAGGCAAGAATAAACTTCGATATATTTGAATTTCGATGTTAATATGCACTTTAGAAGGCTCGATCGCCTATGATTGTCTCGTTCCACTACGATTTCGATATATCTCGAAGTTCGGTTCGATATTGCAATTCTCGAACGATGGAACACGCTGGAAAGGAACCGCAAGGGTCAGATTTGAACGATCATTGAATGTTGAATGTTGTTTCCGTGATTCGTGATTATTGCTGATTAAAGTGAATTTTGCACGTAGAATCGTAAATGCCTCGTGAGACATATAAGATTGTTTTTTTTTTTGTACTGAACTGGTTGTATTAGTTTACAGTTTATCTTTTTTCTTTATACTGGAAGAAGAAAGATAAACTGTGTGCAACCAGGTCAGCTAAAAAAAGAACAGACCTGTAGAATCTTTGTTCTTCAACATAATTCGATGGCGCTGCGGTTCTTCGATATCAACGATCCAGATAGTATTTCTTTTAGATCCACATTTTCCGGAACGAAATGAACTTCACTCACGTGTGTCTCACTCCGATCGAACGCGGCGGAAATGAAGTTGGGACATGATTATGACTAGGTATGTCATATATTTGTGATTAACAGCGACGATCTTGCTTTGAATTCTATTTGAACTCTTTGAGGTAAAATCAATGCTTACGAATCGCCATTGACAATTTTATTGGAGCGATTTTCAGAATCTCTGCATTTTTGCAGCTGCAATTACTATCTGATTAATTTTGAGCCTAGAAATAATTTTCTCAAATCAAAATACTTTGTTATTTATTTTTTACGTTGATTCTGTATCAAAAATTATTTTTTTAATGCTTCAAGTTCCTATTTCGTAAACTCAAGTTGAAAAGTGCGATATTATTGTCGAGCGAGCATTTCAAATTCTCTCTTGGTCTAATAATAATTGTAAAAATTTATTCTAGAAATGGATGTTTATATGTGTTATTATTTTGTTGATAATAATTATTATAATATAATTATAAATCCTAATTATATCGTTGCGTTTCTATTGTTGCAAAATGTAACGCTATATATTAATAATATTAATAATAATATATAAAATATACGTAAAACATATATTATTATAATATTATTATGCATTAGTGTAGAAATAAATTTACGAGGAAAAGTAAACGTATATAGAATTTCATTAAATGACTATTTGAAGTTTTAGAATTAGAATTTCGATGGACCATTTAATAAGTTTTTATTTTTTAATTATATTGATAGTATTAATTAATATAAAAGTAAGTAACTAAAAGTCTTTTAATATCATATTAGCGTTAAAAAAAGAAAAATTTTATAATTAATATACATATAATTTTATATTTATATTATTCATATATAATATTTTAATAAAAATAAATAAACATATATGATAAAAAATGTATACTAGTAAAACATTGATAACATGACATTATCACAATTCAATATATTATCTTTCATTATTCATTAGTAATGTAAATTTTAATCCACCATTCTTAATCTATCAATTAAATTTATTTAAATGCAACATTAATTTCTCAGAATCCTTTAACATTTAAACGTTATATTTAGCCGAGTCATGGCAGGCAATTTTTAATTAGTTTTTATGTAGCGCCAAGGTTCAAACTCATTAAAATTGTTAATAGGTCTCATTAATTTTTCATTAGCCGTTTAATTATTGTCGCTCAAAGTGACAGATATAAGTGACGGTTATAGGGCTCGATTATCGATTTAAGCGAAAGCATCGGTGTACTATTAAATCAGAGAACGTGACTGTCGAAGGATACGCGATCGAAGAGCAGCGTCGCGGCGCCGTTGGCGAACCGCCAGCGTCGCTTGCCATTGAATTCGTGCGGACCGAAAATAAGTAAGTTGGTACGGTGGACAGGCGGTACAGTGACACGGGTTCGATCTCCTCGCTTGCCTCTTAAAGACCGGTTTAACCGAACAAGCATGGGGACATTTCGGGATCATTGTTCGGCCTGGCTATCCTCCTCGTAACTCGCACGAAGACGCCAGAGGTACAGCTGTAGATGGTTGCAACGCACACACACACACACACACACACACACACACACACACACACACACACACATATATATGTAGTGTT